AGACAGAGAGAGAGACAAAGAGACAGAAAGTGAGAAATCACCCCCCGGGGGGATGGCCATGCCACAATTCTTTCTCTTCCATTTTCCTCTCAGGATCTTGGGAACGCATGCACACGTGCCCAGCATGAGTTTAAGCCACTGGGTCTGGGACTCGAACCGTAGTCAATTACATGAGAGTCCAGTGACATAGCCATTATGCTAACTTCTGGTCCCACCTGGTGTGAGTTTTAAGCCTCCAGGTCCAGGACTTGAATCACCACCAATAACGTGAGAATCCAGCTACATAACCATTACACTATCTGCTGGTTTCCCTTAAATAATTTTTATTATTATTTAATTTTGTTAATTATTTTAATTTGCTATAGGGCACATGAACTCATCAGAGAGAGACAGAGAGAGAAAGTGAGAAAGGAAGCTGCCAGGTAGGTGCTAGGTCCAGGACTGGAACTGTGGTTGGTCATGTGGGACTCCAACATCCACCACACCACCTGCTGGCCCCAATTTGATAGTTCTTAAACATGCAATCAGAGTTATGTTTTAGAAAACTCTCTAATATAAGTATTCTGTAGACCTTTATTGAGCATCTATTACAAGTGAGTAGTGCACTACATAGTGGAGTACAAACCATAAGCAAAACAGACATCATCTCTGCCTTCATTAGTTATAATCCAGGGGAAATCAACTATACCCATGAACATATCATTACCAACCGTCTGTAGATGGAGTGTCTACAATACCACTCTCAATGACAAAATAAGTGGGTTGCGGATTCAAAAGAGGGATGCAAGTAAGATTCAGATAGGCGGAACTGTTAAAAAGGTGGTGCAGTAGTTTAGGGTCGATGATATGGGCCAGAAAGAAGTCTTCCTTGCTTCTCAGATAAGCCCAGTTCTCCTTTTTAGAGTGCTCTTACCTTCCTATAGTTTTCTTTCCTGGCCCTTGTCTCCGTTTATAACTGTGAGTTATTTATTTGTTTGCAGTAGTGATGTTTGTTTCCCTAGTAGACTGTCTTCCACGAGGGCAGGGGCCCTGTCTGTATTCTCCCTTGGATCTCCAACAACTAGCACAATGACAGATACTTATACGTTAAATAAATAAATGAAGAAAAGGGATGGCACTTGCAAAGAGGATAGATTTCCAAAATTTTTACGAAATTGAGTTGATATGTTGATGTGAAATAAAGTGTGAAGATGAGAAGACTTACATTCTGGCCTGAGTGTCATATTCAGAACTAGAACAATAAGAGAAGATTCAAAGGAGGAAACAAGAAGCCTGGTTTTGGCTTAATTTGTTAACTTAATTTGCCCGTGGTGTTTTCATCCAGAAATATCTAGTGGGCAGGATAGGTAGGTGGGTTTCTTGTTTTTTGAACTGGCTGATCCATTGCACCTGGGCTATTAGAGTGGCCATCAGGAGAGAACATAAATTTTGGTACCAAGGTCTAACGGAGTGGGAAATTTCAAACTGGGGTTGTTCGTGGTAGAGAATATGGTTAGGGAGAACGTGTTGGCACATTGTATGTCCACACACAGTTCTCGTGCCCCGAGGGCTTATGGACCAGAAGACAGCCTCACCAGCTGCTGGGATTTCGTGAGAGTAACACCATGTCTCCAAGCCCTGTATTTACCCACATAACAGAAGGAATCTTAGTTCAAATTGGGCATGGGCCTAAATTTTCTGAAGAATTTCCCACCTCAATGCTGGGGAGCATATTTCTACATTCGTAAAAGGAAGTAGAATTGTTGATTTGATTGATTTTGCCAATCAAGTATGTGAGTTTTTGTGTTAGTATTCTAACATATTGTATCTTCTTTCCCTGACCCACTTTTTAGGGCATTTTCTTAAATGTGTAGTCTCTTAATGAGAGTCACTTTCTGAGAATGTCTGAACCAAATGGAATAGAAAAACAGACTACAGTAATTATATTTTTAGTTCGTCAAAAATTCTTTTACGAGTACCTAAAGGGAACCAAGAGAAATGATCATTTTCTGTGTCAATGATAATTGCATTTGATTATTCTTAAAAATTCTAGTTACAGAAGCTTCTCCTGGAATATACAGACACAGCTACAGCACTCTTGTATGAGATACTTCTTGTCTTTCAGCAGGTACGACATCTATTTTTATTATATATATTATGTGACGACACATGATGACGCATGTAAGTTATCTGATTATGGAGTGTGACTAATAATAACCAGAAAAATACTTGTATTACGGATGGTCTCCCAAACATATTTCCTTTGCTCTTGAGTGCTCACTTGGCTGATTTTCCAAAATACAGCAGTACCCTCAACTTCAGACAATATAAGACTACATGGATGCCAGAAGCCAGGAATAGGACCAAATAAAGTTTAATTTCTAAACTAAGCATAGTAAGAGATGAACAGCAATAACTAATAATAAAATAGAACAATTACAACAATATGCTGTAATACAAGTTATGTGGCTTCTTTCTCAAAACATACCAACCTATTTTTGGACTGTGGTTTGTCACGGGTAATGGAAAGCACTGAGGATATATGATGGGACTACGTATGCTGATTTTAAAGATTTTGGTTAATCAAGATAAAAATGATGTGAGAGTGAGTGTTCTTGTAGCTACACCTTGAACTTCATGGGTATGACTTGTTTATTTCTTCGAGTATCAGGGAAACCTTGGACTGGGAACCACAAAGTTCGCCATGAGCTGGATGATGTCCTTTCTACAAAGTTGTCCTCCCATAGTAAGTACCTAGATGTAAAATAAAATCGCCACTTGAACCTATTAAAAAAATCTCTGATTATTATTTCTTGCTTTAAATCTTTCAAGCCTTGTTACTTAAGGAGTAAGACATGGATTTTCTTATGACATGGTCAAGTTTATCAAACAGAAGCAAAAATATAAATTTGATAATTTTATAATTTAATTAAGAAAAAATTATATTTGGAACCTGAAAGATAGCTTAAATATGATTTTTATATCATGAAAAACTCTAGAATATATGTGGGAAGCCATATATGAACTGTAATTACGTAAGAAGGTGAACATTGACCTTAGACAGCGAGTCTAACATTTGGGATCATCCAAAGCACTATTCCAGCAACCACTGTCCCAGCACATACTCAGTCCCACTGCTCCTTGATACCCAAGTCACATCTAAATGGTCTGTTCCTTTCTTCTTGCCAGATTTCAGCCAGAGGCATCCACTTAAAATAAAAATCTGGGACCAGGAGGTGGCAGGGCGGTTAAAGCACTGGAGCCCACACAACCGGCTGTGCGGTTCAACTCCCAGACCTGGCAGCTTGAAAATTACACTAGACACATGTGCGTGTGTGCCTCAAATACCGAGAGGAGAATGGAGGAGAAGGGACTGTGGTATGGCCATCCACCCAGGGGGATGATTTTTCACTTTCTCTCTCTCTCTCTCTGGTGAGCCCACACACCCTGTAGCAAGAACTAAAAAAAAGAAAAAAGAAAAGAAAAGAAACAAAACTAAACTTATTGTCGTATCTTGCTTTAAATTTCTCAATAGCTTTCCCCTTTAAATAAAGACTGAACTCCTCCAAATGGCCTACTTGCCAGCCTCTTCTGGTCCCTCACAAACCCAGCCATGTGGTTCCTACTCACTGCGTCTCCTTCCCCCACCAACTGCATCACAGGACCCCTGTCACTGCCCTCGGCTCTCTGACTGAAATGCTTGTCCTGCTCCTTTCACCCTTCAGGCCTCAGTGCCCCTTCTGGGGTGGGCAGCCAAGGGTGCTTCTTTGACTCTCTGACTAGGGCAGAGTCCTCATTACAGACATTCATGGTCATAGCATACTGTCCTCTCCCTCTTCATTGGATTTGTCTCTGTTGCGGTTTACGTTAGTCTGTGTTTCTTGGTTCTGCCCTTATAGCCATTAGTGCCTGTACATACCTGGCAATCTCTCCCTCAAGGCACGTGGTAGCATTGTACTTCCCTCCTCACTTGAAATTAGTGGGCCTCTGTTCTTGTTTTTTTTTTTTTTTTTTTTGCCATGGAATGTGAGATGTTGCTTATGTCACTTCTTGGGAGAAGTTTTAAGAGCCAATGCCTGCTTCCCTGTATGGTCTACATGGTGACTCTCCACCAGCCAATGACCCCTTCCTGTCTATCAGGACATGCAGTACGAACAAATAGTATACCTTAACAGTTCTGGGCAAATCACTGGTATTTGGGGAGGTTTGTTACCACAGTATAACCCCGTCCTTCATGACGGGTACCTGACACATGCACAAACACTGATACTGAAGTCTTTGTCTTCCGAAAGACTCTAAGTGCCATGAAGACAAGAGCTAAGTCAATTATGCAGACATGTAACAAATACTTAATGATGAGAAGATGCAAATAAAGAGAAACCCTTTACTACTGTTGGTGGGAATGTAAATTAGTACAGTCATCATAGAAAACAGTGTGGAAGTTTCTCAAGAAAAGTAAAAACAGCACTGCCATATGATCCAGCAATCCCATTATTTGATATATTTACAAAGGAAAAAAAATTAGAGAGATAGACAGAGCTATATAGAGAGAGCCAAGATACAGAAATGTTTACGTGTCCATCAATGGACAAATGGAAAAGACATTGTGCTATTTGTATATATAATGGAATACTGTATAGACATTGAAAAGAATAAAACCCTGTCATTTCAGGAACCGTGGATAAGCCTGGAGGATGTTCCATTAAATGAAATAACCCAGGCACAGGGAATACTATGTGTTTTCTCTCATATGCCGAAGCTAAAGATGATCTCCTAAAGTAAAGAATAGAGTAGTGATTACTAGAGGCTGGGAAGGGTGGGGGGAGAGAGAAATGTTGGCTATGAATACAAAAGTACAGTTTAAATAAGGAACCAGTAATATATGTGTGTGTGTGTGTGTGGGGGGGTATCTGTGCTTGCCAGAGAGAGAGAGAGAAAGAGAGAGAATGAGAAATCATTCCCCATGGGGATGGGGATGGCCACATTGCATTCCCTTCTTCTCCATTCGCCTCTCGGGATTCTGGGTATGCATGCACAGTTGCCCACCGTGCTCCTCAAAATGCTAGGCCTATAACTTGAACTGCAAAGTGGGCCATGTGGGGTCCAGCTGTCTTAATCTTTACACCACCTGCTGGCCCATAGTTAAAGATATTTTATTGTATATTTCAGATGAACTAAAAGAGAGAATTTTGAATGCTTCCAACACAAAGTAATGACAAATGTCTGAAATGATGGATACATTAATTACCCCAAGTTTATCATTACACATTGTGAATCACACTGCACCCACATATATGTATAACTGTACATATGTGTCAATTTTTAAAATGTGGAAATATGTACAGTATATTACCCTAATGGTTAAGTATAAGAATAAATTCTTTCTAGTCTTAAAAAATATCTGCTGAATTAATTCTAATAAAGGCTTCATCCCCTAATCTCTTCTCACCTCCCCAAACTTAGTTTCCATTTATTCATTCATGTATCCATATATTAAATCAACATACATTTAAGTGAAAATCTCTTCAAAAGGTAGTAATCTAAACTACTGGGTCATCAGAAAAGTCATGATGCATTTTTGCATTTTAAAACATAGAAAGGCATATTATGTCTTTTCTGACGACTCAATAGATTTCCATGGCTAGTGAAGGACTCAACATGAGGTGATGTGTTCTTTTTCCATGTACGAACATGCCTCTGTTGACCATCAGTGGTTTCCTGCTTCAAGCTGCTTTTCCATAGCCATGCTGAGGCTGTCCTATAGAACCTAGATTCTCTTGTCACGTCCCTGTGGCATGTTTACAAAAAGCTCTCTGTTTACAAGTGTACAGAGAGTACATTTGTCAGTGAAATAGCCAGGCGCCTTATACAAAGATTGAACCTGTGGGCCTGGCTCCTTTAGCGGCACACAGATGCCAGCCTCAGGCCCAGTTCAAGGAGTGTCATAAAGTTTGAGTCACTCAGAGCAGTGGAAGGTCCAGAATGCAGAATGCAAGGCCCCTACTTTTTCTGTGCAGTGGTTGAACTATCATCTGAACTGATGTTGGAAATCTGAAGTCCTAAGGACGCCAAGCAAAAGAAAGCTTCTTGATGAACCTCTAGAGTTGGCTCACCCAAAGAACTCCGTTGACTATGAGGCCAGTCTGTGACCACGAAGTATGTCAGGATGAAGGGTGGCACAACGCAGAAAGATCACTAACGCTGTTGGAAGCTTCAGGATTAACCCAGTTCTAAAGAGCGTGGGCAGAAGCAGACCATTTGAGAGAAATGTGGAAGCAAAGAAACTGTCAGGATCATTGATACACCCGCATGTCAGTCCATTTGGATTCTCTTACTTGTTTAGAAGTTATAAATTTAGTCCCCCCTTGGTCTATGACCTGGTGCTCTCTAAGTACCACTTCCATGAGAAAGAATGCAAGGGTGCTGGTGTAAGGGCAGTGAGGACTTCAGCCTAGATTTGCATTTGAGACTCCGGCTGGAATAGGTGAGCTTGTGGGTGGCATGCAGTCTACATCTAACTGCGTTTTCCTTGTCTAGATTACTTTTGTGGCCAGTGTTGTGAAACGAGTGGTGAAGGGGTTTTCAGCTTCATTGCAGCTACTCAGTCCCTGCCAAGCAGTTCTGTTGTACCAGCAGTTTTACGTCCTCAAGAGCTGCCTGCAGTACAGCAAGACGCTTGCTGATTTTATTAGGAATGACTACAGGGAAGAATTCAGGTAAGGAAAAGTCTGAGTCTCATCTGCAGTAAAACTCCACCTGTTTATGATTCTCCCAGAAACCTGAAACATGGCCCCAAACTTAAAAGACTAAATGATGATAGAATAATTCTATTTTTGTTTTTGATAATATTTCACTTTGCTCTGAGGGAAGGTAGGATTTGAGGCAGTCCTAAGAACCATTGCCATTTCATGATCCCCAGGCCAGACAGAAAAGACTGCTGAAACATCGAACTCTCTTTGAAGAACTGTTTCTCATGCATTGTCTTTATTGCAGGCTGCATCTCACAGTAGCAGTAATGCTTTTAACCTGCCTTGAGGATCTAAAAGTAGCAAATCCTACTGAAGGGGACAATTCATTATGGATTGCGCATTCAACCAAGTCATTGGAAAGAAATAATTGATGAAAGAGGAACAATTAATGAACACACTCACTAGTTTGTTTCATTCATCCCTTTCTTACTTTCAGTAACAGAAGAGTAAGAAAGCAGTAGCCAGCATTGGTTTCATCTCCTATTCTCCTCCACCTCAGGGGTTCCACTTCTATTTATAGGCTGGCAAAGCCAAATGCACTTAACAGTGCAGCCCTGCATTAGCACCTACTAAGGAAAAGTCCCAGGTGGAGTCTGACTTAAGATGAAAAGGATGCAGTAGGTATAGCTTTGCCATTAGTTTGGATGGAGACGTAATGGGATGTGGAGGCATACATTATGAACTTAGAATGCCTTAAAAAAAAATCGACCCAATCTGTAGACCCTTATTTTCCTCCATGTAGTGTTACATCACAGGTTCCATGCTGGCCCTCTATGAAGGTTTTGTCTGGCTCTGAATTGGTCCAAACATCTCGATTTCCACCCTTGCCTCCGCACTCCTTTTAATTTTTATTAAGGTAAAATTCATATAGCATGAAATTCACTGTTTTAAATTGTTTAACTCAGGGACGTTTAATATGTTTCACAATGTTTTGTAGTCATCTACACTATAATAGCAGAGTATGTCATCAGCCTGAACAAAGCCCACTACGCAGTGACTGCCCATCCTCCCTCCCCACCAGCCACTGACCACCACTAATCTACTTTCTACTCTTCTGGACATTTCGTATAAATGGAATCACCAGACACCTTTTGTGTCTGGCTTTTTTTTTGGAGAGGTTTTTGCTATAGGGCGCGTGCACTTGCCAGACAGACAGACGGAGATGTAGAGACAGAAAGCAAGAAATCACCCCCCAAGGGGGATGGCCACACCACAATCCCTTCTCCTCCATTCTCTCGGGATCTTGGGCATGCATGCACATGTGCCTGGCGTGAGTTTAAGCCACCAGGTCCGGGACTCGAACTGCGTTGACTACGTAGGAGTCCAGTGACATAGCCATTATGCTAACTGCTGGTCCCGTGTCTGGCTTCTTTCACTTAGCATATTGTGTTCAAGGTTCATCCATGTTGTAGTATGTATCAAATGACAAAATTGTAAAAACTTAGTCATGAACATTTAAAAATTAGGATAATGGGCAAAAATGATGTCATATTCTAAAATGACAACAGTTGGCTGGAGCCCAACCATCTCCTACTCCATCTCTTGCTGTTTCTTACTGTACTTCCTGCAGCTATGTTACTTGCGGGCATTTAGGTATATGATCCTTTTGAAACAGTGACTTTTTTTTATTGTTATCATAATCTTGTTTATATTACATTGAATCACATATAACTTTACAATGTATTACATTTTTTTTTCAGAAGGAATACCATGCATATCAATCAATACAAGGACATTAAAATCCCCATCATGATCATCAAATAGCTTTTCATTATTTTTTCCAGATTATTATTATTCTAATTATTTTTTTAAGCATTCAATCACTATTTATCATTTTGAAGCAGTGACTTTCACCTCACTTTGCATTAGGATTGCCTGAGTAGCTACAGTATGCCATATCTGAAATGCTTGGGACGAGAACAGTTTCTTATTTTGGAATTTTTTTTGATGTTGGCATATTTACATACATATAATGAGATATCCTGGGGAGGAGACTGAGGCTAAACACAAAATTCATGTATGTTTCATATACACTTTATACACATAGTCTAAATGTAATTTTATACAATATTTTTTTGTAGTCATCAAATAGGCATTTTTAATGCTTTTTTTATTTCAAGAAAAATAGTTTTCATGTTTTTTATACAATATTTTTGTACTGTGGTGTTTTGTCTGTAACCTGTCACATAAGGTCAGGTGTGGAATTTTCCATCTGAGGCATCATGTTGGGATTCCAGGAATCTGATTGTGGAGCATGCTGGATTTTGGAATTTTGGACTAAGGATGCTCAACCTTTGTTTAAAAATACTGATACTCTGGTCTCACATGTAGAAGTTCTGTTCAGTGGCCACCCAGTATTGAGGTGGTTGAAGTGGCTGGATCCCTCATGGTCAACTGCTCAGTTTGAGTCCTGGGATCAGTGGCTTGGAGAAAACACTGGGTGTACGTGTTTTGGCACAAACAAAATCCCAAAACGTGAAACAGAAGAGAAGGGATTGTGATGTGACCATTCTCCAGGGGGGGGTGCTTTCTCATTTCTCTCTTATTGTCTCTCTCCAGTGAGTGCATGCATTCTCTATCAAATTAAAAAAAAAATGGGGCTGGTACGGTGGCATGGTGGTTGAGGCACGGGACTCCCACATGGCAGACCATGGTTCGAGTCACTAGGTGGCTTGCTTTCTCACTTTCTCTCTCTCTCTGGTCAGTTTGAAAATAAGTAAATAAATAAATAAAGTTGAATAAATAAATAAATAAATAAATAAAGTTGAATAAATAATTCTTTAAAAAAAAAGAAAACAGAAATTCTGTTCAGTTAGTCTGGAGTGGGGACCTGGATAGTGATTTATTTAGAAAGCCCTTCAGGGGATTCAGATGTTCACTGAGGGTTGAGAACATTTTTTTAAGCCATTCAAGGGGATGGCTAGAGACCTTCTCATTTTTGTGTCTTCCTCTGGCCTTTCCTATACTTGTTTACTGAGGTGATGGGAATGAACCCTATCTTTCTCCCTTGACTGGTCCCTAATGGTCACCATAGCTTGATCCTTTCATTTCACACAACTGTATATAACCTGAGAAAACAGGAAGCAGGAGCCTCCCCTAGCTCATACTGTGGTGAGGACAGTCCTGGCTTCCTTATTGCTTTGATGACTGATACATTATTAATTAAATCCACTTCCTTTGCTAAAGTGCTTCAGTGAGCTGCAAGGCATGCGTAACAGATTTTCTAGGTCATAATCGGGGAGATTGGAGGGCTGAAAATGCTGACTGGGTCTTGTGGCTTAGACTCCCACACCCAATAACCCTATGCCATTGAGTGTGAATGTACTGATGTGACCCCTGTGAAAATCTTTGTTTCTAAAGCTCTCTATCTTGTTTTTCATGATTTGCAGGTACTTTATTCACATGCCAGCCTTAGAACAAAGGCTTCCGTTGTGTTACCCTATTGCTCAACCTACCACTCAGCTTTTTCATGAAGTTCTGAAATTGGTTGAACAGAAACAATGTGTAAAATGTTAACAAGAGTATGAAATGTTAATTAGGAATCAATATTTATGAGAAACAGTTTTTGATTACATACTATCTGCTCTCCCTGAGTCCTATAAACAAAGATTTCATCTGAATGTCCCATCAATACCTTTCTAAGAGAAGTGTTTGAAGTTTTTTATCTGCAACAGAAACAAAAAATAACCCAAACCTGTTTAATTCCATTCTGACATGTGTGAAATGGTGCTAAAAACTAGTGTTTCTCCAGAAAAAAAGAAAATCTCTAAAGACATTTTTTTTTTAAAGAAGATAAATCATAAAGGGAACAGAAGCTTGTGGAAAGCCAATGCAGAAAAAGTAATCTAATGAGTTTCATTGGTGTGATAATGGTGAGTGACACGACACCACTGGGACAAAGATAAATGGTCGTAGAGTATAAACTACAGTGATCATCAGAGAAACGAGCAAAAGATGACCCCTTCCTCCACCTGTAAAAACTATGGTGACAAAAGCATTCATGGAAGACTGAGCAGAACACAGGCATAGCTGAACAGCATGTTGTTCCCTGACTTTCAGAGGGAAAGAAACTTGGACTGTCTTTAACAAATGAGACCTATTCCGCCACTTTGTTTCAGGCACCTGTGGGCCAATCAGAATGATCTTCCTGAGTCTCTCTGATGGACACATTGTCCACATATGATTATGACTCTTCCATACCATTAAAAAAGTCTCCACTATATTTTATGGCTATAGCCTAATTTGATCAAATGAAAAGTTTGTTATCACTGTGAGCTAATGCATTTGGATTTCTAACATTCTAGGAATCAGGCTCTCCATTCAACTTACTTGAAGGAGGATCAGAGAAAAACCCACCTTCTAAGGAAAGGCTGACAAGCCAGATGTTGTAGAGCAGAGAGAGAATGAGATTCACTTAGGAGGTTGTATTTCTGATTCTGACTGAGCCAGGTAATGAGTTATTTGACTTCAAGTAAGTCAGGTTCCCCCTTCCAGGCCTCATCTGCTTCTTCCTAGACATTTTCTAGTTTGTGGAAGAATGGGACCAGATGTTCTACAAATTCACTCCCAGCTCTAGCATTCTCTGCACTTTTACACTCTGAAATGGGGCAGTGTATTTCTTTGTTATTGTCTCAGTATATGATTTCATACTGCCTCCAAATAATCCACTTTTTTTTGGCAACAAAAGTTTCCCTTTGATCTGCCACAGTATCGCTTGACAAAGTTTCCAAGCCTTCTCTATCATCACCCACGAGGAATCCAAGTCTTCTACTCTCTATTTTGGGGGTAGAAAGAGGAGCAAAATTAGTCTGCTGGCCTGTTAATTAAGGAATTATTTACAAGAGTGGTCCATGAAGGAATACGAAGAGATTCTTTGGACACAGGCAAACATCACTTCAAACTAAACAAATGATGTAGGGTGGATGGTGGAACCCACAGAAGAACAACAGGATCAACTCAGCTTTGCTGAAGCTTCTAAGCAGTGCCCCTGCTCTGGGCTGGTAGCAGTGCAGGCTATGGCAAATCTGGACTTTCTCTGCCATGGGATTTCTTGCCTACGTGGCCTTCCTCTCCCACTCCTCAGTTTCCTGGGACCATGCTTTATTTAATGTCTAGGGGCAAAGGCTCTCTCAGAATGTACCTGGATATTTCCATGCAGGGCTAAAGTCAGCGCTTAGTTTAGTGCTAATGGTTGAATACTGTCACCCTGATATTCAGTTTACTTGGTATGACTTATGTACATTCATTGGCATAGACTTGGGGAGGGGGAACCCCAAATTAATACATACTTGGAAAGATCATCCTACCACAATTCTTTTCTGCTGTGTATTTTTTTGTTTGCATTGTTGCCAAAGGCAAGAGAATCATTAAATAATCCATCTTCGTTAGTGCTCAAACGCATTTAACATTTTAACTAATTGCAAAATAATAATTGTTTTTGGAAATCCAATTATAGATAAAATGTGAATGCGAAAATGAAATATAACTTTTTAAGAATATAAAAGGTCACTAAAAAGACAAGCATACATAGCCAGTTTTCAGGATGAGTTCAAGATTCTAGACACTTTGATCACCTTTATAATACAGATATTACCATTTATAACCCCCGGTTATCCTCACAGAAATCAGGTCTACCATTTCAAACATTATACAGATGTATAATTTTTATTTCTAGTATTTCTACCTATCAATTTTAACTATATGTATTGTATATACACTATATATAATATATACATATATACTATATGTATGTATATATGTATAGTATATACATATGGTACATATTCATATATGTATGTATATAATATATAGTGTATATATATAGTATATATAAACTATACATAGTATATACTATATAGAATATATATAGTGTATATATAGTATGTATATATAGTATATATAGTTATATATGTATATGTCTATACATAGTATATATATACATACTATATATAGTATATATGCATAGTATATATAGTTATATGTACAGTGTATATTAATATATTTCCATTTTAACTATATATATGTATGTATATGATATATATAGTGTATATATAGTATATATAGTTCATATAAACTATATATAGTATATGTATGCCATATACAATATACAGTATATATAGTGTAAATATAGTATGTATATATTGTATATATATTATATAGTTAAACTATACATATAGTTAAAATTGATTCACAAGTAGAACTACTAGAAATAAAAATTATACATATGTATATATCCATATATATACATATAGTTAAAAATAATATTTTAAAATTTTAATTAACTAGGGGTAAGAGGCCAAAATGGCTTTGATTTTAAGCCCTAGCTCTGACCTAGTTTTAGACCTTGAGACTTTACCAACAACTCTAAACTTTGATTAAAGCACAGATAATATAAAGTACTGCATAAAGTTGTTAGGAGCTTTAATTTTAAGGTGCTGGTAATGCACACAGCATGGTACCTGGCATGTTTACAATAAGGGCTCATAAATGGTATTTATTATTGCTATTATTGCTATTAAAATAATACTAAGGCTAGCTGGGAATTTACTGCCCCCTTTTTGGGGACCAATCTGGCCTCTAGCCACCATACTTAGAGAACTCCTGATCTATATAGCATTGGAGAATAGATTCATTCGAATATCAAATGGAAATTCAGCTTTATATTAGTAGGGGTATGATTTGACAAGTGACTATTTCTTTTTTTAGTAGCATTGTTTTATTTTGTTAAAAAATATTCCATTTTTTATCTATTTTTGTTGTGATTTTTAAGTCACCAGATCTAGGACTGCAGTTGGCCATGTGGGAATCCAGTGCCACCTGCTAACCCAGCAAGTGATTATTTCTCCTGCTTATCACCACGAAGGACTGTTGGCTCTAGCTGACACATCACTGGAAGTGCTGTATGGGAAATATTCCTAATGGCAGACAGAAGGCATTTTAGTCACATAAACCTTTTTCAATTTTTGACTAGCTAATTGCTAACTGATCAAACCCATGTAGCCATTTTGCATTTACAGAGTCTGTAATTGATTCATAAGTAGAGTTACTAGAAATAAAAAAAAAATTCTTACTTGGACCCAGCAGATGGCGTAGTGGTTAAGGTGCTGGACACTCCCACAGATGGTTCGAGTCCTGAACCTGGCAGCTTGCTTTCTCACTTTCCCTTTCTCTCACTCTGTCTCTGGTCAAATTAAAATAAATGAATAAATAATATTAAATAAATAATTACTTTAAAAAATTTCTTACTTTATTGAAATCTAGAAACTCTAGACACTATGTAAAGACAAAAAAAGCCAGAAGGGCCTATAGTTCCATATTGATTCTCTCTGGTAGTTCCACTTTTAACTGTGTGCAGCACAATATATGAATGCAAGTGCATTAATGGGGTACAAGGCTGTTGATAAAAGCTTATTTACTGCTGACATGCTACAACCCCTGACATTATATTTTATTTTTCTGAGTCTAGGTCTACTTGTTTTATATTTTAACATATTTCCAGAATGAAGTGGTCCAGTGATAAATATGTAAAACAAGCTGGAAATTTCTTGAAGAGATAAATTTGATGAGAATTTTTGAGCAACCTTTCAGAGTGTTAAACCACAGTAAGATTTCTCTTAGTTCATTCTATTGGGTTGTCAGAAAAGTCATGAAGTAATTTTCTATGTAAAAATGTGTCATGACATTTCCGACAACCCAACATTTACTTCTAGAGTGCAGGATGGGATTGTAAGGTCCACTTAAACTTGCTTCTCCGTGGGAGGAAGACAGTTTGCGGTTTTCTATCCAGTCAGACCAAGCACTCTGTGCTGTGTCTTTTCTCTTTCGGGGGGAAGACAGCCTGATTCCCTGACCAGAAATCTGAATAGTGTAACTTTGTGGATAAGAGTCCAGATATCATGTCGGAAAGATCTTGCTTCGAGCTTTGCCTACTTACTTACTTGTCGCCAGATTTGGGGACATTAAACTCTTTCAGACTTAAACTCTGTTTTATCCTTGCTTAAACTCAATTTATCAATTAACCAGTCATTAAAAGCCTAAGTTCTTTTGTGAATATTCATTAAATTATATATAAACATCTAGTTCGGTGGCCACTGTATATTAGGAAGAACCAGGTGGCATTGCCATTTTCAAGTCCAAAACTGTCAAGATCTGGAATTCTATGTGGTTTAAATGCATGGAGACCCCTCAATAAATGGTAAGTATTATCTGAATAGAAACAATGACCTGCTTAGTGGTCTTGTATTTTTAAATATATATTATTTATTCTAGTTTTCCAGATAGACTAACGCTTTGTTGTATAGATTATTTTTGCACAGATTTGGATAAACCATAAATCAAGCCATACAGTTAAATTACAAGTGATCAAGTGAGCGTAACATACTTAAACATGCCAAAATGGAATTCTTAAGTTTCTTGATTGCCTTGCCCAACAATAAAAACCTGTTTTCCCCTTAGTCTTTTCCCCGTAAGTGAATGGCATTCATTCAGTCCACTGCTCAAAGATAAATCTGAGAGATCTCTCTGTCGTCTCCTTTCCTTCATTCCCTAAATACAATCAGTCCATCAGCAGCGCTGATTGGCAATTCCCTAAAATACGTTCCTGGTCTACTGACTTCCCATAGTTGTGGCTACAGTCCTATTTCAAACTTCCATCACTTACTGTAATGGCCTAGTCACTGTGATTTCATCCTTGACCCCTATAATGCATTCTCTGAAGTGAGACTGGAGTCATCTTTTGAACAATAACATTTCTAATGTAAAATAATTACTTCCTATCACCTAGGATTAAATCCAAAGCCTTTACAATGGCCTTCATGACCTGGCCTGTGACCACTCTGTGACCTCTGACCATTCTCCTCACGCCTCCTCATACACATGGGCCTTTATGCTATACCTTCAAATGATCATCCTAAGCTCCTTCAGGCTCTCGAAATTTGCACTTGGAAATGCTCGCTCCTCCTTTCAAATACCATCTCAAAGTGAGCTTTTCTGATCACTCTAAAGTAGCCTCCCACCCACCTGGATCACCTTTGAATGTATTTGTTTGCTCACTTATTCTTCAAAATATAAGAATTTAAGAATGCAAGTTCCATGACAGATTGGCTTTCCCTTGTCTTGTTCAATACTATGTTCCCAGCACCTGCAATAGTGCCTGATACAAAGATGAATGGATGAATGGGCTAAGGAACACGTTAGACCAGCTTAAGATTTCATTATGATTTTGTACAAAGTCACTGTAACAGCGGATTTCTTCAAAGACGTCCCAAACAAGGCCACCCATTGTTGCAGCTGCATGTCACTCCTCCCATCAAGACGTGAAGTTCGGGTCCTTTGCCCTCTCACCTGGGTTGGACCTGTGACGACAATCTGACCCAGACCATGTGGAAGAGGTAACGTTCCAGGACTTCAGAGCCCAGACTTTAAGGTCTGGCAGCTTCTGCTTCTCTCTGTTGAAGCCTTGGGCTACCATGTGAAGAGACTGGGAGGCTGACACTATGTGCAGAACAAGACCACTCAGAAGAGCACCAGCCTCAGTTGCCATTTCACAGTAAACACATGCGAGATCCCAGTAAGACTTGTAGAATGCCCAGTCAATCCATAAAACTGTGAGGTAGAATAAAGGGTTGCTTTAAGCCTTAAGTTTTGGAGTGGTTTATTATACAGCAACAAATAAAAAGTCAAGAACATTGGGACCAGAGGATGGTATAATGGTTACGTCACTGGACTCCTATGTAGTCGACCAGTTTGAGTACCAGACCCAGTGGCTTAAACCTCATGCCTGGTGCGTGAGTGTGCATGCCCAAAATTCTGAGAGGAGAATGAAGAAGGGACTGCGGCATGGCCATCCCCCTTGGGGGGTGATTTCTCGCTTTCTGTCTCTCTGTCTCTCTAGCAAGCACACATGCCCTATAGTAAAAATCTCTCTTTAAAAAACCCCTCCAAAATCAAGAACATTTTCATATATTATTAAACAAAACTATACATTACAGCAATGTTAGGGCAATTTCAATGGAAATAATTCGGGCCACTCGAACCAACCCAAGTGTTTACTTTCCATATGATTTCCTAGCTTTTGTCCTACATGGTTAAAATCAGGTACCGATTTTCTCTTGTCATTTTGAATGAGCCTGATAATCCTCAGAGTACTTCTAGTACTTTCAAAATGGGATTTTATTTTTAAGATATCTGTTTAGATGCAGTGGTTTGCACGTAGTCACTGTCCCTTACTGGAGAGGAGCTCTAGGAATCATACAGCACAAAAAGCAGCTAATCAGAAAAGGCAGACCAAAACATCAAGTGTG